AAGCAAATGACGTTAGACATGACGTTGGAGAATCATCATCAAAGGAAGAAACAAAAGATGAGGAAACTCATGATCCCCTTGAGAATCCAACCAGTGAAGAAAGGGAAGTATATTTTCCAAGAGAGTACAACTATGTCAAGGATGGTGAAATTATAGGTGATCCATCCAAAGGGGTAACTACTCGATCTTCTCTTAGAAATGTTTGTAACTATGTTGCATTTATTTCATGCATAGAGCCTAAGAACATCAAAGAAGCATTAAAAGATGAACATTGGATTATGGCTATGCAAGAAGAATTAAATCAATTTGAGAGAAGTAAAGTATGGACATTAGTTGAAAGGCCTAATAATAAATCTACTGTAGGTACTAGATGGGTTTTTAGAAATAAACTTGATGAAAGTGGTAATATAGTGAGGAACAAGGCTAGACTTGTTGCTCAAGGCTATACTCAAGAAGAAGGCATAGACTATGATGAAACATACGCTCCCGTAGCTAGGATGGAAGCAATTAGAATATTATTAGCATTTGCATGTTTCAATGAATTTAAATTATATCAAATGGATGTTAAAAGTGCATTTTTTAAATGGTTTTATAAAGGAAGAAGTGTACGTGGAACAACCTCCAGGTTTTGAAGATTCAAATTTTCTGGATCATGTTTTAAAATTGACAAAAGCTCTTTATGGTTTAAAACAAGCTCCTAGAGCTTGGTATGAAAGATTGTCAAATTTTTTAATTGAAAAAGGTTTTTCAAAAGGAAAGGTTGACACTACATTGTTTTTAAAGAGAAAAGGTAAAGATTTATTAGTAGTTCAAATTTATGTTGATGATATAATATTTGGTTCTACTAATGATGTTCTTTGCCAAGAATTTTCTAAGCTAATGCAAAGTGAGTTTGAGATGAGCATGATGGGGGAGCTCTCATTTTTTCTTGGGACTCCAAATCAAGCAAAGAAAAGATGGCATCTTCATTAATCAAGCTAAGTACGTCAAAGATATGCTCAAGAAGTTTGGACTGGAAAATGGGAAACCTCATGACACTCCAATGAGCTCTTCAACAAAGCTTGACTTAGATGAAGGAGGTAAATGTGTAGATGTTAAATTATATAGATCCATGATTGGCTCATTGCTTTATCTAACCGCAAGTAGACCGGATATTATGTTTAGTGTTTGCTTGTGTGCTAGGTTTCAATCATGTCCTAAAGAATCACATTTACTAGCCGTTAAGAGAATCTTTAGATACCTTAAGGACACTCCTAGTATAGGACTTTGGTATCCTAGAGACTCTAGTTTTAGCTTGCATGCTTTCTCCGATGCGGATTATGGAGGATGCAAATTAGATAGGAAAAGCACCTCCGGTACTTGCCAATTCCTTGGAAATATGCTGATTTCTTGGTTTTCAAAGAAACAAAATTGTGTTGCATTATCTACCACTGAAGCGGAATACATTTCAGCCGGTAGTTGTTGTGCACAAGTTTTATGGATGAAACAACAACTTTTTGATTATGGAATTGAAGTAGGTACCATTCCTATCAAGTGTGACAATACTAGTGCTATTTGTCTCACTAAAAATCCCATCCAACACTCTAGAACTAAGCACATTGAAATAAGACATCACTTCATTAGAGACCATGTCACTAAGGAAGATGTAGTTCTAGAATATGTTGATACTTTGCATCAATTAGCGGATATCTTTACAAAACCCTTAGACAAGGAAAGGTTTTAGACACTTAGAAGAGAAATAGGTTTAACTGACCTATCTTCACTTAGTGTTTAAAATAATTTAGCACTTTTAATAAATACTGAAAAATGCTTATAATAATAATTTTTTGATTGCATTCTTGCTATTAGTTAGGGGGAGTTTATGATTCTTAGTGAAAATTAATTTTATGTTCAAATAATGTTTAAAGATTAATTTAATTGATTGAACATAATTAATTTTTGATATATGAGTTGCCAACACCACTAGAGCCTATTTATTTAGCATTTTAAGTGTTTAAAACGGATTTTTGGACATTTTTGTGCTTCATGCACCGATGCACTTAACAATGCATCGATTCATCCCTTTGAATGTGCATCGATTCATCATGTTGATGCACCGATGCACTCCTTGAATATGCATCGATGCACAGGGTCATGCATCGATGCATCCGTTGGGTTTTGGGGTTTTAAAGGCTTATTTTTCTATTTTATCTCAAAACCTAAAAACTCTTCCTCTAGCCGCCGTTCGTCCCTCTCTCTCTCTTAATCTCCATTCTTGCTCAAAATCAACGATTTTTCGTCGGAATCTTCAAGCTTTTCAACTCTCAAACCTGCTTCAATCATTAAATCGTGCAAAACAACTCCTCATCCCTCTCAATCTGAATTTTCAAGGTATTTTTCTAAAAACCTCTATTTTACAAATTTATGATTTTAGAACTAGTTTTAATTAGTTCTAGAATGTACATTATATCGGGCATTTATTGTTTGTTGGTTCTAAACTAGATTTTACTACCAATTTCGTCAAAAACAAACAATTTTTTCAAAAATTTTCTTTGAATTTCGAAACCTTAAAAAAACGAAAATTAGTAAGATTTTTGATTTAATTGTTTTGTTTTCATGAAAACTATATTGTGATTATCAAATATTTTTTTAATAGTTTCAAAACATGCCCATTAGGATATGGTTTAGAGAACCTTGAATTATTGAGGACTCATTTGATTTTTGGGAATTGATTGTGCATACATGTGTTTCAAATTGCAGGTGATATTCCTTATTCTGATTTACTTTAATCATGTCTAATCCCAAACGTCCTAGAACTTCGTCTAGTCGTTCTCATTCAAACCAACCGCCAAATCCCGTTTTCCTCCGCCTCCTCCCGATCCTTCTATAGACGAATAGATCTTGTTGTGGTTTTGGATTTTCTTGAACGTTTCTTGTTAAACCATTTTGAATATTTTGGGGGTTATTGTTTGACTTGCTTGACTTCATTTGGATATAAGATTTGGATGTTTTATGGATAGTTTGTTTGAATTTTCATTTTGAGCTTAATATTTATTAATTTTTGCATCATCATATTAGTTGCATTATGACCAATTATCCATTTATGTTTATGAATATTGATTATGAAACTAATGGCTAATCTCTCTTTTGATTGTGATCTTAGCCTAATATATATATATATCAATTGGCTATGTTTTTCACTAACTTGTTTAAAACGTTTTGAAACTTTTTGATTTAACAAAAAGGGGGAGAAATGTTAAGTGTTGAAATTTGTTTGGAAATTTTTTTTAAGGGGGAGAAGTGTTATAGTAAGGGGGAGTAAATTTTTCAAAATTGATTTCAAATTTTAGAAAATCTTAAAATAACACAAATGTTTTGTTATATCAAAAAGGGGGAGATTGTTGAAAACATTTTTATATTTCGATATAACAAATTAAGTTTAAATGAATTTTAAGATTTTACAAATGATTTTCTAAGTATATTCGATTCAATTAATCGAATATCAAATTATTACTCCAAGTCTTTCAAAAACAATTTTAATCCTTACTAAATGTGTAAAATTGTGATTTGTACTTAATATATTTTTGAAACAATTTTCACAAAGTATTTTGAACCAAAATCAAGCCTTAAATCAATTTTTCAAAGGTATGCACCGATGCATAAATACCATGCATCGATGCATCAATGGATAAATTGAAACATCGAATGCATTCTATGCACCGATGCACTCTCTATGCATCGATGCACTCTGATTTAATTTAAACATCGAATGCATTTGATGCATCGATGCACCAGCCATGCATCGATGCACTCGGGCTATTTTGAAACATCGAATGCACTTGATGCATCGATGCACTCTTAGTGCACCGATGCACTAAGGGTCCAACGGTCAAAATATTTAAATTTTACACGAATGCACCGATGCATCCTTGATCATGCATCGATGCATGAGACGCTCCACCTATAAAAATTAATTGCTTTTAGACTTAAACGGCTATATGATCTTCACTAATCATCCCCAATGTTCAGAAGTGATTCAAGGTGTATTTAAACAAGTTCTGAAGCCCTTGATCAACAAGAAATCATAGAGAAACAAGAGAGAAAGCATCAAACACCAAGTTTGTGCAAATCAAGCCAATTTTCCTTTCAATATTCAATTTGCTTTCAAGAACACCATTTGTGCTCATTTGTAATTATCTTTGAGTGTTCTTTTCTTGTTCTAGAATTGTGCAAACATCTTACCTTGTGAGGTTTTCTTGTAAGTTTGCAAATTTGTAATCTTCTCTTTGGGAAAAAGAGTGTTCTCAAGAATTGGGGTATATTCTTTAGGTTGTTGTAAGGTTATCTCTTTGGCCTCAAAAGAAAAAACAAATTAGTGAATTTGTTGGAAAATCCTTAGTGTGGATAGCTAAGGTAGTGGACGTAGACTTTGTTTGAGAAAGTCGAACCACTCTAAATCGCTGTGCAAATCTTTTCAATTTTCTGCAAAAGCTTCCACCGAATTTTTAATTGCCAATTCACCCCCCTCTTGGCTAATTCTGTCGATCGATTAACTCAACATAACTTAATTACATATTTAATTTATACTTATGGTTATAAACTTCATTATAACTTTAAATATTTTCTCTTTTTAATAAAAAAAACTAACAGTTTCTATGGAAGGATTGAAATAAACCTTATTATTTTATTATTTTTATCTATTACAGATTTTTATGATTTGAACGACTTTAAATGTAAATAATAATAAAAATGAAAGAAAAAAACACTAATAATCAATGATAAAGAGGCCAAGAGACAATATAAGTGCTTTCTTTTTCTTTTCCTTTTAAACTTTTTCCATGATTGATGGTCAAATTAAACGAGAATAATAAATTCGCATTAAACTAAACTTATTTGTAATGTATTTAATGATGGGACATAATAAAAAAAATTGATGACAAATATTGAAAAATATAAATGTAAGATAAGAAATTAAAAACTTGTTTATTTATAATTTATTAATTTTGACAATGATTAGTTTATTAATTAAAAGCAAATGAAACTCGAGAACTGGTGGATCTCGTAGAAAACAAAGTCTCCCAAATCTCAGCAAAAGCCTGAACAACGGCGCCATGATGATGCCTAGAATTCAAAGATAAGAAACAATGCAAGAGTTGTTCCAAATCCTCGTTCTCGAACATTTGATTCTCAAATATCATCTCCATCATCGACTGCTTGAAATCCTTGCATGGATCCTCTGATTTCTTCACCACTGCAAAACTCTCACTGACTTTTCCATCCACCGTGCATGGTACCATCCGTTGCAGAAAGCTCGAAAGTCTCGCCGGCGACTCGCTCTCCGACGACGTTAATCTCATCATGTCGCTCCTTCTTGTTGCCTTCTTTACTTTCCTGTTTTTCTTCATCCTCTTTCTATGCCCCATGATCATTGTTTTGCGTATGGTTGAAGAGGAATCAGTTGTGAAACTCCCAGAAGATGAGACTAGGCTTTCTGTTTCTTCGTCGTCAAAGCTTTCCACTGATGACTTCCTTATGCGGGTTTTTGGCGTTGTTTTCTTCTTTTTCCATCGTCGTTTTCTCTTTTCCGTGTTGGGAGGCTTAGATGGAGAGATGAAAAGGTCGTTGTTATTGTCAGAGGTATAGTAGATTTTACGACGAGGGGTTTCGTCGTCGTCGAGAACTTTGGCGATCACGTGCCATCCATCTTCTCTTTCCCAGTGAAACTCCGACGTCAGCGGCGGAGGCGATTGGCTGCGTTCAGTTTCAGAGAAACAAGGTGCGGACGATCTTGATCGGAGACCGCAACCCATAGACGAGAACGCCGATGAAACGTGGCGTTTGAGGGAAGAGCAATGAGGAGTTTGTTGCGGGGGTGATGGGGGTAAATGGAGGGTGATAGGGTTAGGGTTGAGAGAAGAAAGTCTGGAGAAAGAAGGGACGGGATTTGAGGGGAAATCAGAAGGATCTTTGGAACGGCAAGATTGGAACAAGAAACGGGATATCTTTAGCTTGAAGCGTTTCGCCATTTTTTTTTTTTTTTTTTTTTGCAGCTCAGCTCTCTATGTTTGAGTAGCAGTTGAAGTCATATGTATTTGTCCAAGACATGAACTGTTTTTGTCCGACCAAAGTTGCTTTTATACACGGGTTTCCTTTTTGCATTTGTAAGTTTAAATTCTTAACATGTAAATTTGTATAATAATATATTTAATATTAAAGAATTGAATATTTTAACATACACGAATGAGTATTATAAGACTGCAAGTAATTAATTTTGTTTTTGACAAATTTTAACTTTAGTTTCAACTCTACGTACAGAGGAGGAAAAAGAGGAATTTAAGAGAAGGAAAGAAGAATACTCTTGGTGAAATTAGAATTTATGACTAAAAGAATATAAAATAATAAAGAAATTTGACCAACCTTTGAATCCTTTCCCGCTTCCTCCATTGACACTTCATTTTCACTCGTATTTATACATCTTTCTCTTACTTGAACCCTACTACACTTTTAAGCTCAACATCACCGCATTAGACAAACGGAAACTACCCAAATCTGGATTCGACACCAAAAACACACCCGTCTACACCATACTCTCCATAGGAGAACATATAAATGACCTGGATGTATTCACTCGAATGGCAAGTGTCCAAACATAACAAAGACTTCCAAAGCATAATAAAAGATAGTGATACGAATGTTGGCATCGTAGCAAGCCAAGCAGAGAAACCTTTAACTTTAGCAAGGATAAGATCCCCAACTTTCCATTGGAAGCAAGCGACAACAACCATCCTATAGGTGCATTTCCTTCCGTTGGGTGCCACCAAAGAATTTCTCATGTAACATCTCATGCTCATTTGCTTTCATTTCAAATACACATGCTCAAATCATTTTAATATAATTGTACATCATGTGTACACATAAATGAAGTAAACACAACTTTCATTAATGACATATTAGCTCTTTGCTACGAATGAAACGCTAATAGCTCTTTGTCAGGTTCAAACTTCCCTCATCGGAAGCTATTGATTTTAAGGGAAGCCAAGGAAATGTTGCACTTGGGTAAGTTGATTGGGGTATATACTATTAGGAATGAGGATGAGATATTGCTAAGATTATCGGAGACCGGGATACAGGGGGCCTTTGAAGTATAAGGATGCGATTACTTGGAATGTTTTTTGGCTTAGGAAGTTCTAAGAAGGTTAGGTGTGATATGGTGTTTGTTATGAACCAGATGCAGCCAAAGCCAACTCAGCAATTATTGCCAGGTCAGCAACAAATGGTGTGCAGGAATACATGGGAGCAAAGTATTCCAAGGCCTGATTGGTTAGTCTGGGTATCTAGTATTCAATAGAGAATACAATGAGGGCATGAATATTGTGATAATTTGTTATCTTCTCTTCTTTTCTAGTTCTCTTCTAATATTCTCTTTTAATTCTCTTCCTATTTTCTCTACTACTTTATTTTTCTTGTTCTTCAGTGAAAATTCAGCTTGAATATTTCCATTTATAATAGCGGGTTCTTGAGTTCATAACATTGGTGCTTTCGTTGAGAGATGGCAGGCGATGTTTCTTTTCCTCCAGATCATGCTCATGTGAAGTTGCCATTGTTCACCGGAGAAAATCCAGAGGAGTGGATTGCTTCAGCTCAAGAATTTTTTGAATTTTATCACATAGATGATCATTACCGAGTTACAATGGCATCTTTTCGGATGGAAGGGATAGCTAAAAAATGGTTTCGGTGGATGCAAAGATGGCAACAGTTGGCTGGATGGAACCATTTCGTCGATTCCATTCGAAAGCGATTTGTTTCCTCAGAAACAGAATTACGAGATAATCTCTTCCGTCACCACCGATCATGCTCTACTGCAATCTCAACAAAATTGGGGCAAGCGTTCAAGCCTCGTTCTGAGAAGGAGGGATCATGGGAATTTGTTACGAGGCAAAATAGTTCAATCATAATGACTCCCCAGGTGTTCGACGAATTGTCAACACTAAAAAGCTTTGACATCGACCATCCATCAATTCAAGGTAGTAAGGGAGCTGATTCTCTGTGCATCAATCGAGACAACCCAAGCAAAATGATCAGTCATGTGTTTGATGAAGTGCCAGTATTGAAAAACTTTGAAATTGGCTATCAATTGATTCATGGTAGCAAAGGAGCTAATTTTCCAAATGTTGGAACAGGGAAGACGGCTTCTTCCAACACCGTTGAAACATCGGCAGAAAAAGTTGAAGATAAGGCTATTAAATCTAAAGAGCAATTGTCGGATGAGATTCAAGAGGAAATTCGGACTACCAACTTGATGAATACAAAGAATCCTTTCACTGAAAGAGCTGACAAACAAGTGAAAGTTGATTTCAATTGTATCATTCTAGAGGAACACAAAATGACACAAAATACCTTTGGCTTAATCTCTTATTATGATGAAGTTAAGGTGATTGAATCACAAGAACCATGGTCAAATGAGATACGAAGTACATATTTGATGGAAGCAAAGAATCACGTTAATGATAGTGTCTCTACCCTATATTGAATTAGACATTGAAAATGCCAAGTGTTTAGAAAATAACTTCCTGATATTGTATGTGTTACACGTTGATAATTGGCATAAATTCTACGAGGGATTATCTATGGCATGTTGTTTGTTGTTAAATGTGGTTCGGGCAAATTAAAAAAAGAATTTATTCAGGAGTGTTTATACACCTAAAGATTGTTAAGTTTGATGACCCATATCGGTTTCGGCTTCTGTTGATGGGAAAGTCTATGAACCATCTAGTTAGAAGTTTCAATAATAAAACTGATCACTACTTGCCCATTCATATAGAGGTACCAACTGTTGTCGATCGAGCTACTGAACAAAAGATCTTTGTCACCGGACATTTTGGTGGTGCTAGTGTAGGGAACACTCTGCTTATTATGAAACTTATCAACAATGTTACTAAAGATCATGGTCACTTCTTAGTGTTTGCTAGTGTTGAAGAATGCACAAGAGAGGGCAGTGACTTGTATAAAGAAAAGATTGAGAGTAGTGTCATCAAGCTACGTGACAAGCAGGTTAAGAGCAAATGTTCTCTTGTCTATGGTCAAATGAATGAGCTACCTGGTGCTCGTGGTTGTGTTGGATTTACTGATTTGACTATGGCTGAACGCTTTCTTGACGTTGAAGATCAGGATTTGCTTGATGGAATTCCATCTGTTGTCGGTTACCAACCAATTTTGACTACTAATCTTGGATGCATTCAAGAGCGTATTGCCACAACCAAGAAGGTGTTATGATTTAGGATAAGAATGTAGAAGAATTTTAGGGATTTCAGAAATAGAGAGATTTAGGTACAGAAAACATTCTTCATTCATAAGATAAAATCCTTAAAGGATTGGTACAAATTATATATTTACTAGTACCAGCTGTCAGTACAAAATATCTAACAAAATAACTGCCTCTGTTGACTCACCATCCAAACTTCTCTCCTAATATAATTCTATAAGACTCAAGCCCACATATAAGCCCACCAGTAACTTAAATTGGGTAAGACATAATAAACCCACTAACACACCCCCTTCTATACCCTCAGTCGTATCTCATACTCTGCATCCCTCTTTTGTCTTCACTTCGATTCCCAAATCTTCATATCGAATGTCAATCCCTAGCCCCCTTTTAAATCCCTAATTTCGTCCGATTCTCTCCGATTCGCTCAGAACCGTAATTAAACATGGTTGTTTACCTTTATTTTTGTTTTGTATTACAGCTGGTGGTGGTTGTTTCTTCACTGTCTGAGGTGAATCTGTTTCCTCAGCTGCCTGATTGACCAACTGTAGGATCCTCTGCAAATACCCTCTGTTCTCAGTCTTTCCCTCTTCCAATGTTTGAATCCTTCCTTCCAGCTTTGCCTTCTGCCCAGCCCATCAGGATGGTAAGGTCTCCTCCTTCACCTCCAGTGCTACTTGTTCTGGTACCTCTGTTGTTCCAGTTTTCTGCATTTTTCTTGTCTTTCCCAGCGTGAACAATTGATTTTGGATCAGAAAACTCAGCTCTGATTACCAATTTGTTATGATTTAGGATAAGAATGTAGAAGAATTTTAGGGATTTCAAAAATAGAGAGATTTAGGTACAGAAAACGTTCTTCATTCATATGATAAAATCCTTAAAGGATTGGTACAAATTATATATTTACTAGTACCATCTATCAGTACAGAATATCTAACAAAATAAATGTCTCTGCTGACTCACCATCCAAACTTCTCTCCTAATATAATTCTATCAGACTCAAGCCCACCAGTAACTTAAATTGGGTAAGACATAATAAACCCACTAACACACCCCCTCCTATACCCTCAGCCGTATCTCATACTCTGCATCCCTCTTTTGTCTTCACTTCGATTTCCAAATCTTCAGATCGAATGTCAATCCCTATCCCCCTTTTAAATCCCTAATTTTGTTCGATTCTCTCCCAAATTCTTCCGTTGCTTCTCAATTATTCTCTTCGAAATTTCCCCCAATTCACTACAATCAAACCCTAACTTTCCTGCCATCATAACAATACCCCCTTCTCCAGAAGATTCTTGTCCCCAAGGATCGAATTGAGGAAACTGTTATCGCAATACTGTATAATCCTCCCAAGTTGCCTCCGTTTGTCCCATATTCGTCCACTGAATGAGCAATTGAATGACTGCTCGATTCTGCCTTGTAATCACTCGTTGATCCAAAACTAGGGTTGGGTAAATCTTCAATTGTCCATCTGACGCTACCTCTGGAGGATCGATCGAGATAAGTCCCTTTTTCCCTACTTTCTTCTTAAGTAAACTCACGTGGAAGACTGGATGTATTTTCGAATTTGTTGGCAAATCTAATTTATAAGCAACCTGACCAATTCTGTTTTGAATTTTGTAGGGTCCAAAATATCGAGCAGCAAGCTTCAAATTTCTTCGTAGTGCCAGCGATGTTTGTCTGTATGGCTGGAGCTTCAGGTAAACTTCATCGCCTATTTGAAATTCCCTTTATGTTCTATGTTTATCAGTCATCTGCTTCATTCTATTGGTAGCTTGAAGTAGTTGCTCCTTTAACAATGAATTTAATTGTTCCCTGTGTTGCATGACATCCTGCACTGCCTCCACCTTAGAGTCTGTTGTCCAGGTCACATTAGGAGCTTTATACCCATATAAGGCTTCAAATGGTGTCATCTGTAGAGTAGAGTGGTAGTTAGTATTGTACCACCACTTAGCCTGAGCTAACCACTTTGACCAAGTCTTTGGTTTCAAGAAACACATACACCTCAAATATTGTTCTAAACATTGATTCAATCTCTCTGTCTGGCCATCTGTTTCAGGATGGTAGGTAGTACTAAATAATGTAGTTGAACCCAATTGCTTCATTAATTCCTGCCAAAACAGACTAGTGATAGACTTATCCCTGTCAAAAATAGCCACTTTAGGAGGACCATGTAACTTGTAAACTTGATCAAGGTAAACCCTAGCAACTTCTACTACTGTATAGGGATGAGCTAGTGGCATAAAATGAGCATACTTGGTGAATTTATCAATCACCACTAAGATGCAATTATACTTTGTTGAAGATGGCAAACCTTCAATGAAGTCCATTGTAATCACTTCCCAAGCATTGTTTGGGACTGGAATAGGCTGTAACAATCCTGGCTTAGGAATATGTTCTGTTTTAGTCCTCTGACACACATCACATTGTTGTATATGCTCCTGAATTAAAATTTTCATTCTTGGCCAAAAAAATAAGACTTAATTTTCTGATAAGTAGCATGAATACCTGAGTGACCTCCTTGTGGTGAATCATACAAAGCCACAATTATATTCTGCCTAAGGTCCCCCTTGCTGCCCACATAAATCCTCTTTTTGAAATACAAGACTCCTTTGAGTAACTTCCAGTCCTGTATTTGATCTGGCTTAATAACCAAAATAGGTATTTTTTTCTTGGGTTATAGCATCTTCTTCATAACTCTTTTCAATATCCTGTACCCAAGTAGGTGTTGTAACAGTAACTCCCATTTGAACAAATTCACCAGAATCCAATTGTTGTCTAGAAAGTGCATCTGCAGCTTTGTTAGACTTACCCTTCCTATACTGAATAGTATAATCCAGCCCCAATAACTTTGTAGGTCCTTTCTTCTGGATAGTTGTAGTTAACTTCTGTTCAAGTAAATGTTTTAAGGGCTCATGATCTATTTTTAATAACAAAAGAACCACTCTCCAAATAATGCCTCCAATAAGAAACTGCAATCAAAATGGCCAAATACTCCTTCTCATAGATTGAAAGATCTGCATACTTAAGACCCAAAGCTTTACTCAAATAAGCTATAGGTCTCCCATCTTGAGAAAGAATAGCTCCAATCCCTTTTGAACTAGCATCAGTTTCAAAAACAAATTTCTGCTCAAAATTAGGTAAAGCCAAAATTGGAGCATTAAACATAACTTCCTTTAGCTTTTCAAAAGCTGACATAGCTTCCTCAGACCAATAAAACCCATCCTTTTTCAGCATATTGGTTAAAGGCTTACTCAATTCTCCATATCCTCTTATGAATTTTCTGTAGTATCCAGTTAAACCCAAAAATCCTCTTAAAGCTTTCAGATTCTTAGGTAAAGGCCACTGTTGCATGGCTTTAATTTTGGCAGGATCTGTTGCCACCCCATCAGCTGATATTAAGTGCCCTAAATATTCCACTTGTTGTTGTCCAAAGAAGTACTTACTCCTTTTTGCATATAACATGTTTCTCAACAGAACCTCTAACACAGTTCTTAGGTGTTGTTTATGCTTTGTCAAACTAGGACTGTAAACCAATATATCATAAAAAAATACAAGAACAAACTTCCTTAAGTATGCTCCAAACAAATCATTCATCAAAGCTTGAAAAGTAGTTGGAGCATTAGTAAGGCCAAAAGGCATTACTTTAAATTCATAGTGTCCTTGATGGGTCCTAAAAGCAGTTTTGCAAATATCTTCATCCTTGATTCTAATTTGCCAATATCCAGACCTCAAGTCAATTTTTGAAAAGAAAGCAGCCCCATTAAATTCATCTAAAAAATCCTCCACTATAGGAATAGGAAACTTATTTTTAACTGTAGCAGAATTAAGTTTCCTATAATCCACACAAAATCTCCAAGTTCCATCTTTCTTTTTAATAAGTAAACATGGGGAGACAAAGGCACTTTTACTCACCTGAATAATAGAAGAGGACATCATTTTAGTAACATGTTTCTCCACTTCAGCCTTATGATGATGAGCAAATCTATAAGGTCTAAGATTTTTCTGGTTGTGTTCCTTGTTTAAGGACAATTGCATGATCATGTTTCATTCTATGAGGCATTCCCCTTGGTTCTTCAAATACTTCTTTAAACTCCTCTAATAAGTCTTGTAATGGTAGTGGAATTTCACTGTCTTCAACTTCAGCACTGAGCAAATAGATCTCCCCATTCAATTCAGTTTCTTTTTCAGTTAGCTTCTGGAATTTCTCACATGTGATGGGTCTAATTAATGGCAGCTTTTGAGATCATTTTATAACTACAGTTTCCCCATCCTTCTCAAAACTGATGGTCTTAGCTTTAAAGTCCATCATTATAGGGTTGAATTCTTCCATCCAATCTACCCCCAATACCATGTCACTACCTGCCAAAGATAGTACTATGAAATAATGCTGAAAATCATAGCCCTATATCATCCAATTCACTTTATTACTTCTAGCAGTACTAAACAGTTTCTCACCATTAGCTACTGTAATAACTAATGGTTTTGTATGAACCAATTCAACCCTTTCCTTTGCCCACTTAGGAGTTACAAAACTATGGGTGCTGCCACTATCAATTAGCACATTAATAGGCTTCCCTCTGATAAAACCCTGAATCCTCAAGGTAGTATGTCCCACATTCCCTGTAATAGCATTGATAGAAATTTCCAGGGCTTCCTTAGCTTTATATTCCATCTCTCCATTCTCCCCTTCTGTTAAATCATGTTCTGCAGATTCAACAGGCTCTTCTTCCTCCATACAATTCAATTGTCTGCTTTTACACTGGTGTCCAGGAGTAAATTTCTCTCCACATTTGAAACACAAATTGTGGTTTCTTCTATATTCCAATAGACTCTGTCTTGTGCTTATATTAGGAGGAACTGACTTAGGCAAAAAAAAATTAACTCCACTGCTCTGTTGACTATTTGAAGGAGTGTAAGAAAAAATTTTAGCAGGAGGTTTAAACTTCTTCCCTTCAATCTCATTAGTCAACTCATATAACTTAGCTTGCTTATAAGCTTCAAATAAGTTCTTGGGCTCTAACACTTTCACCTTATATTTTAATTCCTCCTTGAGTCCACTGACAAAGCTGGAAACAAAGTACTCATCCCCCAAATGCATGTTCTATTATAACAAATAGGGTCTTAACTCCTCAAATCTTTCTTGATACTCATCCACACTCCATTTTTGCATTAGCTTATCGAATTCTTCAATAATATCAGAATAATTTCTATCACAAAAACTGTGACATAAATCAGCCGCAAATTCATGCCAAGTAACCCTATGCTTCTGCATCATATACCCATCAAACCATGTCTCAGCTCTCCCAGTTAAATACATAGAAGCTACTTCCATTTTCTGCTCCTCCGGTATTCCAAACAAATTAAAAAACTTCTGACATTTCCTAATCCAACCCCTGGAATTACTACCATCAAACATTGGTAACTGCAATTTTGGTCTAGGTAACACATAACCTGTGTTCCCAAAAGGGTTTTTACCATAGTTTCTAGTGTCCACATTTTCATCTCCTCTCCCTTAATCTCACTAGAACTACCCATAAG